CATAACATGATCCATCCTGGTGTGTACGTGTGCGTGTATGTATGTGTGTGTACGTGTACACGTTGGTGCATGTGTACATGGGGTATTTGGTCGTAGCTAGCCAGAACATGCACGACGGCGCGTCATTGTGTCTTTTTTTTACGTTTACGTTGCGGCTCGCTGGCTTCGTCGCCCGGCGCCAGCTTTCTTCTATTTTTCGTTCGGGAGCGCTGCCTTCGTCGTCGCGTGGTTCGTTTTTCGCGTCGTCGTCGTTTATTGTTCATTTCTTTTCGTTCTGGACCGTGCACCGCACACCGCGTCGTCCCGGACTGCACTGCTCCACGCCTGGGCCCGCGCAATGCGCCCCCGAGCATCGCCGTGCACCGCTTCGGTGTCCGCGCCGCACCGCACTGCACCGCGTTGCACCGCACCGCACCACACCTGGACCCGCGCAATGCGCCCCGGAGCATCGACGCTCACCGCTTGTGGTGTGCGCTAGCTCCGACACTAATTGGGAACCGCGGTCGCCGGCTCGATCCCGGTGCATGAGTTGTTGTTGTCTTTTCATTCGGGACCGCGCACTGCACCGCACTGCACCGCACCGCACCGCGATTTAACACGCAAATCGCAAAACATTGGCTGCACCGCACTGCGCAATTTGACATGCGCCGACTCGCGCATTTTAACGCGCAACCCACCACACAACTCGACGTGCAATTAAACATGCAATTCAACGCGCAATTTAATGTACACCGAACCACGCAATTTGACGCGCACTGAAGTGTGCAGTGCTTGTCCAACGTTGTCCGTGTAGCCTGTACGGCATTTTGTGAAGCTGTTTTGTTCACGGACGTTGGCTCGCTACAATATAATTGCACCGCATATATACGCATCCGGTTTACTTATTTTCAGATACGTACCGCGGCTGAGCGGTTGCTTTAAAGCTGGCGGTTGTAAACTAGTTGCGCCGCCGACATAAGCTGCACGGTATTTCGCGAAGCTGGCCTCTTAACATGCATCGGCTCGCTAACCGATTTTCGCCAGACGACAACATCTCGGCACATCAACGGTTGTTCATCACCATCAATGGCTATTCATCGCCATCCTCGTCTGCACGTCCTACACGCTACAAGGTCAGTCCACGTTGCAAAGCAGTAGCAATGAATAGATTCGACGACTAGCAGTGAGTAGAAACGATAGCAAGAATAGCAAGGAATAGAAACACAACGCGCACCGAAGTGTGATGCGCAACACAACCTGACCCGCGGGACGGTTTGCGCGGTCGGTCGTGTACCTTTTTTTTTTATTTGGATGGAGGCCGCGCACCCCTCTCGCCATGTCTCACCTCCTTATGCTTCGTCCTACTATATCATCATGCTGACTCTGTCACCGTGTGGGAGCTGCAGTCGCCAGCTCGATCCCGGCGCCCGCGCATTTTTGCCATTTTTTTCGTTCGGGAGCGTGCACCGCACCGTACCGCACCGCACCGCACCGCACCGCACCGTGATTAAACGCGCAAATCCACCGGATCATGGCCGTGCGCCGCTTCGTCGTGCGCGCTAGCTCCGATGTCGAGTAGGAGCCGCGGTCGCTGGTTCGATCCCGGCGCCGGTGCGTAGTTATGTCCTTTTTTACGTTGCGGCTCGCTGGCTTCGTCGCCCGGCGCCTGCTTTCTTCTATTTTTCGTTCGGGAGCGCTGCCTTCATCGTCTCGTGGTTCGTTTTTCGCGTCGTCGTCGTTTATTGTTCTTTTCTTTTCATTCTGGACTGGACCGTGCACCGCACCGCGTCGTCCCGGACTGCACCGCTCCACGCCTGGGCCCGCGCAATGCGCCCCCGAGCAACACCCTGCACCGCTTCGGTGTCCGCGCCGCACCGCACTGCACCGCGTTGCACCGCACCGCGCCACACTGCGTGTGGCAGTGCATCACACCGCACCGCACCACACCTGTACCCGCGCAATGCACCCCGGAGCATCGAAGCTCACCGCTTCTGGTGTGCGCTAGCTCCGACACTGATTGGGAACCGCGGTCGCCGGCTCGATCCCGGTGCATGAATTGTTGTTGTTTTTTTTTCGGGACCGCGCACCGCACCGCACCGCACCGCGATTTAACGCGCAAATCGCAAAACATTGGCTGCATCGGCTCGCTAACCGATTTTCGCCAGACAACATCTCGGCACATCAACGGTAACGGTTGTTCATCACCAT